GTACAAGTGCCAGCTCACCTGGTGATGTGCTTGCCTTGTAAGCATAAAGTCCTGAGTTCAGATCCCTAAGATCTATGATAGGAAGCTATGTCCGGAGGTGTGTGCATGTAATCACAGGAATGATGACGGAGAAGATGGAAACAGGTAGATGTTTGTGGGACAACTAGGCTGACCTATAAAAAAAATAGTTTCAGGCCAATGAGAGTTCTTGTCTCAAGCAAAAGGTGAAAGTACTTGAGAACCGGCCCTTTAAGCTGTTCTCTGACTCTCACAGTGTACCATGCATATACACACTCCCCACACATGTGTACACACAGACACACACGGACACAAACAAACAAATAATGTTAAAAATAGCTAGGAAAGCTCACTGGGAAGGAGCTTGCTTATTCTGACTATTTACTATTAAGTCCAACAACTTGAGTTTGATCTCCAGAACCCACATGGTGTATGGGAAGAATAAACTCCTGCATGTAGTCCTCTGACCTCCATACATGTTCTGCAACATGGCAGTTCCACCCTACATACTACTAAATGAATGAATGAATGAATGAATGAATGAATGAAATTCAGAAAAATGATTGAACAAAGACTATGTGCTGGAGTGCAGTGGACAGGAAAAGAGGAGCCTAACGGTGAGGCCAAAGGGTAAACAGGAGCTATACAATGCAGGAAAGACTGATGGGGACCGGTCTAGTGATAAAAAGTAGTGAAGTTCAGAAAGGTACAAAGAGGGACCCAGGAGAATCACTGAATAAGGGCCCTTGGATGAAAGCAACATCAGATTCTGAAAAACGAAGTGTCTGGCATAGTTCTGCAACTGAGCAACGTGATCAGAGACCATTTTGCACTTGGTCTCTTCTGCCCTAGCCCAGAGGGCATGCATTCAGCTACTCGGACATTTCCTTCAGCAGCTGCAGCTGAGACTGCAGCTTCTGCTAGCACGGCTGCTAATTCTTCAGTGATTGTTTTATCTCTTATTATCTCTTTGGCCCCTCTGAGTTCTAAGCATCTTATTCCAAGTTCCCACACACTCCCTAGGAGAGCCGACAACAACGTAAAATTAAGCTAGCTCTTTGGCCATTTCCTGCATATGAAATACATTCTGATTACTGACTCACCCCACCACCTCTTATCTCTCTTCCATCTTAGGCCCCCCTACACAACGAGTGCCTTTTCAAAGTTCATGACATTTTGGTTGATTTTGAGAGCCATTAAGGTTTTCCCGGATCATTTGTATGTTCATTGGGTTGGAATTGCCCATTGGAGCCTACTGGGCCACCAGGGCTATACAACTAAAGGCAACAGCTCCCCTTCCCCTTAAGTTTATCAGTAGCAACAAGTAGTTCTGCAGTGAGAGCTGCGCCGCCATCCTCCCCCGTCCATGGCTGACTAATGATGGGCCCGTTCTTGTGTGGATACAGTGAAGACATCTTTAGCTGCTGTGGTTTCCTGATTACAATGACTGTCTCTGGCCCATATGGCATGTCACAGTCCTCCCCATCTTCCAGCTCTTACATTCTTTCGACCCCTTCTTTTACAATATTCCCTGAATGTTTTGTCTGAATGCTTTGTTTCTAAACTTAAACAATGCTTATTTACACATTATTGCTGTTTTTCTCTCCACATCTCTGAGTAGGTCTATTACCAGGGCTGGACTGTGCTCTGCAAAGGAATTTGAAACATTCTGGAATCTCTCTCACTTGGGACAATTCTAGTAGCATTTTGCTACCCCTCAACCTGAGAGTATAATGTATCCAGGGGTCTTGTGGTAGTTAGAGGCAGTAGAAGAGGCTCTTGGTTTGGCACCCAGCCCCTCATTTCAGGTTGGTGCAGCATAAAGATGGCTTACAACCAGAACTTTCTCTTGAGTCTAGTCTATGGATCACCCATGTCACTTCTTCCATGACTACCAGAGAGACTGTGGTAGAGCAAGGAGCCAAAGTCTGATGAAGATCAGGACGACTTCTTACTATGAGCCAAGACAACTTCAGAGGAATGTGCATTAACTGTAGGTGCTGCCTGAACATATATCCTTGATCAGCCTATCCCATTCTCTTTTGACCATTTTTACAGATTTCTTTTCAGGGTCCCCCTGAATGGATCACTAGAAAATGCCTCTAAATACTTGCCTTAAGCTCTGCTTCTAGAGATCACAAGGAGACACAAACTAGAGCCAGCAACTATATAACACAACAGGTAATGGTTTTAAGGGCAATTCAAAGGACCCCAAATGAGTACTTAGGGCTGAAATACATAATTGTCTGGCTCTGTGGGCTTTACACAGATAGCCATGGACAACAGCTAGAGAACCCAAGGTCAGGAAAAAGCCAGCAGCTTGATTACTTGATCAAGCTGATCATTAGAGTGCTGCTTTGTATCCGGCATGTGATCTCCCCATCAGACATAGTAGGCCTGTTAACAGGCCTCCGGGGAAGATGCCAAGATGGCAAAAGGGTGGAGATATAGAAATAGTGATGACATATTTCTGAGACTTTATAAATGCCTGATGCCTGTCAAGATTTCCAGCACCAAACTTTCCCCTGCTAAAAATACAAACAAACAAACAAACAAACAAACAAAAACCAAAAACAAACAAACAAACAAAAAAACCACCAAAATTCCACCATGAAGAAATTCGATGTAGGTGGTATAAAAAGAATGAGAGAAGTCATATATCTATCCTTCATTTCAGTGCCTTATGGGAAATACATGGATTCAGGCAGCATTTGCTCTGGAGTGACTCTTGGATGTTTCAAGTGGAGTAACTGATATGGAGGAGACACTGACCAAACATGAATTTTCTTCCTTTAGCCTTAGTGCTGTGTTTCTTAAGAATCCTAATCTGAGGCTGTGTTGACAAGAGATGGCTCCCTGAACAATGGTAGGTTGGAGTTCTGTATTAGGTAGTTCTCTACCCTACTCCCAAGTGGTGATCGAGTGTGTTTTTTGGGGAGGAATTGTTGAATTTTAATGTCGTATGGAATCAGGATGTGGATGCTGGAAATGCCGGAAGAGCATTGGCTGGGGTTAATCAGCTGGGGAGTCACACAGTCACCATGCACCACTACCATTTCACATGCTTACGTTTTACCTGTGCAAACACTCTACCAAAGAAAACCTCTGTCCTAAGGTCACACAAGAGGAGACACAGTGACACTGTGGAGAAAGAGACACATGGATGCTCTAGTTCTTCTACTGTCGTTGCCTTTCTCTCTGACCAGCAACACGTCCTTGGAGAAGCCAGCATGGCAGAACTCAACACTTCTGAGAACTATGGTTCCAAGGCTGGTGGGAAAGCACAGCCTCATATGTTATCCCATCAGCCCTTCATTCCCTGTTGCCTCTCAAGTCACATGTTCCCAGTTCTCAGGTAAAACAGACCCAGTAAACTACTCTGTGGAGGAATCTATGTGTTCGCGTGTCACATAGTGTCTGAGTGTTAGCCCTCAGCAGAGAGGGCAATCATCTTGGCCTCTTTCTTGTCTAGAGTGAAAAGGTACTGGGCAGCCATGGGATACTACTACGGAGAAGGAATTTTCTCAGTGCTTTATCCCCCCTGACTGCCTGTTTAAGTGGGATGCTGCAGACACCCAGCTTCCCGATTGCTGTCTAGGAGCCCCAGTGCTACCCAATTGATGATGTTCTTCCTTCCACATTATCTGTTTCCTTCGGTGGCCAAGACTGCAAGGTCTGTGATTTGTGACACTTTTGTCTGTGGACCATCCATCCCCCTGTCTCAAGAAGACCATTTTATCTCTTTCCACAGAGTCATTTGAGTTCCTCAGAGGGAACAAGTTAGGGGCATGACAGCCTCAGTGACTTCTTATCACCAGGAGCCCCTGTGCTCCATCTTCTCCCTGTACCATCCCTTTGCTGCCTACATATGCAACTGAATTCTTAGAATTAGAAAAGTTCTAAGCGGTCATGGAATATGCTTTGCTAGCTATATTTCCTATCCTACCCTGTATCTTCCTCTATGTTTCTTTTTATTTTCACTCACTCACTCACTCACTCACTCACTCACTCTGTCTCTCCCCTTCCACCCATATGTGACCTCTTTGTTTGTACACACTTGTACACATTCACGTACATACATATATAAACTTGACTCATTGCCTTTGCCTATTATATCTATGATGATATGTATACTTATGTTTATACATTTCATACCCTTGGAAGTAAACTGTGAAATTGTGTATGCTGTGAATAAATGCAGAGAACAGAACCCAATTTTGTTTCATGTGTATTGGTGGGGGAAGTTCTTGTTGAAAATATCAATTCTGTAAGAAAAAGATAAACCTGCTTTCTAACCACTCAACCTTGTAATAGGTTAAATGATAACAAACCATTCATTGATTTTGTTTTTTAAAAAAAGTAATAAACAGAAACATGTACCAATTGAAAGAGCCAGGCAATTCAATTATAATTAGGAAAACAAAAGTGATGAGCCTGAACAATGCTGCCTTCATGTTTTGGGGGATAAGTGTTGAAATGCAAAGGGCATAACAATGTAGTGTCTGCTTTCCCATCTGAAAGGCGTCAATACTAATCACCTCATATCTGAAAGCCAAGAACCCAATGAATAAAGTACAAAACCTCAACCACAGGTCTAATATACAAGCTTAGAGAAAAACACCCACACATAGACACAAATTATATATATATATATATATATATATATATATATATATATATATCAGAATAATATGTTAAAGTCTTTTACCATTACTCCATTGATTAATGTACTGATCATCCATCCATCCATCCATCCATCCATCTATTCAATATATATGTTTGGCATTGTTATTATGCTTTAAGCTCTATGTTATTAACATATTCTTAGGAGATATATGGTGTAGGTGCAAATGACCCCAACAAAAATAATTCTTTCCTTTTGTTTTAGATATTATTGCCTAAGCTTCACTTGTGTGAACATAAGGAGCAATGGTTGTATTGCTGAATAATAGCTACAATCAGACAAGGACATGTCAACATACCTTTCGTAGCCAGACGCACACAGTTGATTTTTGTTTCCTGGGAACAACAAAAAGAATGAGACAACAGTTAATTAATTGCTGATTATATAAGAATTCTTATATAAAAATACTTTGGGATTTGTACATATAGATATGTATGTATATGGATTTAATTATAATTTAAAATTTGTCCTTTCCATTTCTCCCACTATTGGGATCACCTTTTAATTTCAGCTCTTAATTTCCTCTCAGGCTTAGAACATATGTTGTTCTGTTTGTTTCATGGCACCTATTACTTCCTCAACCTTTTTACCAGACAGAACTGCTTTATAAATATTCTAACACCCGAGAGTTTAGCAATTCTCAGTGGTTATTTGGTAGTTTACAGCATTCTTTGTTCTCAGGTGTGAATTAGCAGATGGGACCAAGCCTTTCTTGGGAAACTTCGTTCTGAGCGGCAGTGTATCTACCTGAGCAGACTAAATGAACATTTGACAAGAGTCAAGTCTATGTGAAGTCTGTCATAAATCAAACTACAAAGTTCATGCTCCAAATAGTTGTTTCAGTCCTGAGATCTTTGATGGGTTTCATAGACTTTATGGCTAAACCTCTCTCTCTTTCCTCTCTCTCTCTCTCTCTGTGTCTCTCTCTCTCTGTGAGTCTCTGCCATTTTGTTTTTGTCTGTAAAGGTGTGAGAGACCAAGCCAAACATATGTCAAGAGCCCAGGGATTGCTATAGGGTCTACTCTATCTTGAAGGTATTTGGGCCTATCAGATTAGATGACTGTTTTGCAATAATAAACCCTACAGACTTCCATAGACAGAAATAGCAAAATAGTGCTCAGACTACTAGTTATACACAAATGTATTGCTGGGTCTGAGAAATGGAATGGAGTGGTATGCAAATCATTTATTTACTCTGAGATGTCAAGGTGGCTGCTCAAATCCATTTTAACCCAAAGGGATCAAATTCTGAAAAGACAAACTCTAGAAATCAAATTCTTTGAATCATAAGTGACACTCAATTCTATTCTTGTTTCATTGGCTAGAACTACTCATGGCCACACTCAGGTTTAGTAAGGATTAGAAAAGGGATCTTCCACATATTATACCCAGAAGCAGAGAAGTGGCAAAGTATCACTGGCATAGTCTGTTCCATCTATGCACAGCTTGAACACTACAACTTGTCTCTTTTCTTAGCTCAAGCACAACCCCTTATTATTAAGTCATGCTGTCCCAACACTAGTTCCTGGATGCACCGAAAGTTTGCTCTTGCTTGCAAAGGAAAAGGGTTGAGCTAGTGAAAAACAGTTGTCATAGCATAAATGTTCTTCATCAACAAACCCCCCTAAGATAAGAGCTCAAGTCTTCTGAGCCACTTTTGCTACTCATCCTTCCCTTTTGTGTCTATCAGTATGCAATGACAAGAGTAGAAAAAGCACAGTATTTATCAGGTCTCGCCCACATATCATTATCTACTATTGTATTTTCATTATTTATTTTAAGCTTCTAATAACACAGTCAACCTCCCATCACAAGTAAAAGAAATCATATTTATCACTATGGGTTCTATATTTTTTGCTCTGGTCCTAATAACCTATCACATTTGTATGACTTACATGTTGTTAGAAAGTATTTTTCTGATGTCTCATCCAAATAATTAGCCTGTAGTAACCAGGAGAATACCAGCAGCAGAGTATGTGCTACAAGCTCTCATTCTGACTGACATTCACTTGTGCATCAGTCTTTGAACTATCTAGTTATTGGTTCTCTTGCTATCTTAAGCATTCAGATATTTTAAATAGCTCAAGTGCTCATGCATTGTAACTTTTGCACAGTGGAGGCTCAAAGGATGGTCAAGTTCATTGCAGATATAGATCCCCTATTTACTGCATTTGCCTAACCTAATAGCCTGAGGTGCCTCTTAAAGGAAGAAGGTTGGGTGGGCATAACTTGTGACTTGGAACAAGAGTTTCTTTTCTCATTATGAAAATATCCCTGTAAAAAAAAAACCCTAGATTTTATAGGTTAGAAAATCATAAGTGTTAAACAGTTCAACAGATCATGGTTCAAATATTTGAAGTATTCCTTTTAAGATTACATATGAAAATTGAACCTTGTTACATTTCAAAGACAAGTTTAGATTTTAATTAAAGAACATATTCAGAAGTCAGAAAAATGATCAAAAAGACACATAGAAAAGGAAAACTGATATCCAAAAGGCTGAAGTCACAAATAAGTTAAAACTTGTACATGATGGTAAGGCTAACAAACTGTTTTCCTTTTTAAATTTGGAGAAAGAGGATGGACCTTAAGTTTGTGTTGGTTTTCAGTTTTGTGTCTCATTTAAAGATCCTGAGATAGTTTGATAAAATGTGATCCTCAAAGAACCGAACCCCTCCAAATGGTGGCATCACACTGACCACCCTGGGAAACTGAAGAGTGGGAGAGGTGTAAGATATGATTCAGAGGCTCATCAACTTTATATTGGTGCAAAGGAAAAAAGATTTTGAAAATGTTATATAAGAAAACTTGCCATTTTAATGCATGGTAGTTGCATATAACAGTGGGTGAAGGCTGGATAAAGCCAAGACTGTTGGAGTAATTAAAAATATAGTCATCTTTTGGTATCTAAACTAGATGTTGTTTAGAAGCCCCATGGATACCAAACCCACAGATGTTCAAGCTCTTTAAATCTGTCCTCCATGTCCATGATTCGGCATCCATGAGCACAGGGAGAAGACTCACTGTACATGCCTTGACTTTAAAGAGACCCGACCCAATCTTCCTACGCCTGAGAAGGTGCTCTCAGAGAAGAACTTGGAATGTAGTGCACAGCCTACTGCTTAAACATGTTGGATCTAAAGTGAAAACTCAAAGAAATGTGTTTGTCTAACTATTCAAGCATGGCCAAGGAAGTGGTTGCATATTAGCATTGCAGACCATGAAGAGGCTACCGCAACTAAAGCGAATGTGAGGGTCATAACTCCATAACTGGTAGACATAAGACAATATCAAGGGAGGGGGCTGGAACGATGGCTTAGTGGTTAAACGCACTTCTTGCCCTTGCCAAGGACCCAGGTTAAGATCCCAGCTTCCACATAAGAGCGCACAATAACCTTAACTCCAGTTCCAAGGCATCCAGGTCTTCTGGCTCCGGAAGGCACCAGGCACACATGTGGTACACACACACACACACACACACACACACACTCACACACACACACGCAGGCAAAACATGCATACACATAAAAATCTTAATGAGAAAATGTTAAATGAATAAGCAATGCACTATTGTTATTCCAATTAACGGGTAACTCGAGGGAGGCACAAAGAGAGATCCTGAAGAAAACTTAACTCTTGCACTGTTAATTAGATTACACACCTTAAATACTCCTCTTAAATACAACCTGACAAGTTTTTTCATCAAATTAGCACACCCTTATGACCAAGTCTAGGAACTCAATGTCACCAACATCTCAGATGTCCCTTCTGGGCTCCTTTTCAGCACTACCTTTCTGAAAAAGGAAAGATTGACCCACCTTCTGTGGGAATTTTTTTTTTTTTATGAAATGTTTGTTTACATGTGTGGGAATGTTGGGTAGCTACAAGGGCTTGTTCTGTCACTTACTCTTGCTCCCTGTATCATCTGTGTTACTTTCTAACTTTACTTAGAATCGCTTTCTCCTGGATGGTTTCTTGCCTGAAAACCAAAGCTTTTCCTAACACTACACCCTCAACTCTGCATTAGCAAAGTCTATTTTCTATAATGTAGAGTGCATGTCTAATTACACTAAGTTTTCCTGACTTTCACAAACATGAAGCTGACATGTTCACTTTCTCCTAAGTTCCTGACAGCTTTAATTCCATAAGCAATTTGTCTTTGTTGGTTGGAATTAGGTAAAGAATTACAAAGCCCTGAGTCACTCTCTTGACCTTCTGCTTGATTGGATTGTCAGCAAACAAATCGGAGACATGCTAGACACTGTAAATTCTATTACATGGGAGGTCTGGTCAGTGTGCATATGTCCACAGTCCCAATCAGATTAACAAGCAGGAAGTACTTTCTTTGTGCTCTGACTGTGTAAGAACCTGGAAGGTGTTGTATTTTCTGTTCTAGCTCCACTATACCATTCTCTGGGTCTATAATCTGTGTTGGGAAAGCACACATTATTTTCTCATCTTTTAAACCTCACTTCCTGCCTGAGACTTGATAATCTTCACACAGGTGTATGTTACCTTGGGGTAGAACTTATAACAAGATCACTTCAGTACTTGTGTTGAGGTAGCCCCTCTGCTCCAGGCTCTTCCAGAGCTGTGTGAAACTGAGCAAGGCACCATCACTCTCTGTGGTTCTAATCCCCAAAAATAAATGACAGAGGAAAAAACTTTTGTGGAAAATTTGGATCATCCTGAGGACATTCTCAAACATTGACTCTGTTCTTGGCTATAGGTGCTATTCCTGCTTTTCCAGTATCCTACCTTCTTGCATCTTGATACTGTTCTATAGTACCTTCTCTTTTGCAAATCATTTTTAAACTATTATGTACATTATTTCTATAAATAGCTTTTGTAGTGAGCCAAGTCCGATTTACCCAATAAGACACTCATCCATCTTCCAGCAGTTTATTGCAATTGTCAGGTGCCTCTCCACTAAGATCTCAGTGCTGGTATCCAGGGCATCCAAGTATGCCAATAACTTCTCTTGGATAATATTTGCATTTCTTACTGTATTATCCCACTAGATTCCTGATGTACTATAATGAAGGTTTAATTCTGACCCAGTTTTCAAATGCTTTTACCAGTTCCTTAGCTTGTATTTTTGTCTTCTCTAATATTGAGCTTCCTCAGTTAGTAAGGTAGGACTTGACCTTCAGCTTGCCGTATTGCCTTATTTTTTTCCATAATGGCTTATGTGCATTTCCACTAAGGCCCCAAAACCTGACAACCTATGTAATCCTTTGTTCACGGTGACTTAATCAGCTCTTCAACAGGCACTTGCTGAATAATGACTATGTGCCTGGCTTTATCCTGGGTACCACGGCTAGAATGGTGAAC